TGTCAACTAAAATTTTTTCAACCCGACATTCTGATGGTGGCTTCATGGTAATGGTGGCCCTAGTTGTTTCACTATGACTTGCATATGTAAGGTTTGTATAGTAGGGCTTTAAGGTGCTCATATGGAGCAATGCACTTTTATCCTTTTTGGTAGGTCAATTTTGTAAAACATATTTTTCATTCTAAAAAAGATCTTTACTGGACCCTCATACTTACACACCAATTTACAATCTCATTTTCTTAGGAACTTGGTTTGTTCAGGCACTAATCTGATAAGCACAAAATCCTTAATTTTGAACAGTTGTGCCTTTCAGCCCTTATTCGCCCACTTTTTCATGTGTTTCAATGTCTTATCCAAGTATGCTTAGGCAATTTCTATGTTTTGTTTCTATTCTTTGCTAATGTTGAAAGCTCGTGGATTTTTCTCTCGATATGGCTCAAAAAATGTATGAGGTAGCCTTGATTGTTGCCTAGTGACTACTTCAAAAGGGCTCTTATTTGTAAAAGAATGCTTGTTGAAATTAAAATAAAATTGGGCTATATCCAATAATGAAGGCTAATTTTTTTGATTAGCTTAAACAAAGTGTCTCAGATACTCCTTTAATAACCCATTAAATTGCTCAGCCTAACCATTGGTTTTTAAATGGTAACTTGAAGAGATGTTGAACTGAGATCCCATGATCTTAAAAAGTTTTTTCCATAATGAACCGGTGAATCTCAAATCCTTGTCACTGACAATGGTTTGTGGAAAGCCCCAATACTTAATCATATGCTTAAACATTAGATGGGTTATATCATTCACGGTGCAATACTTTTAGGCTTAAATAATTGTGGCATATTTCAAAAAATGATCAATCATCGCCAGAATGGTACCAAGATCACCAACCTTAGGGAGGCCCAATATGAAGTCAAGTAAGATACTTTCTTAAGGTCCCATGGGTATAGGTAACAGTTCAAGCATACCTATTGGTTTTTTTTTTCAACTTTGTCTTATTAACAAATGAGGTAAATTTTCGTATAATCCATCATATCTTGCCACATATGAAGCCAATAATAGCCTTCTTTTAGTAAGACCAAGGTACATTGCCAACCAGGGTGACCCGTCCATTATGTGTTATGGCATTCTTGCATTAGCATCTATCTTAGACCCATTGCTTTTGGCATAAATAACTAGGGACCCTTTGTCAATAAAGCCTCATTTTTCAACCAAAAGTACTTAAACTTTTCTTATTCTACTAACTTCAATATGGACACTAGCCTATGGGTCTTTTTCAAATTATTTTCAATTAGCTTACGAATATTTGTCATAACTTTACTAGCCAACGTTGGAGTGATTCTCTTAAAAGCTATCAATTTCACTATCTACTTAATGCATCCGTCACTTGGTTGATTCTTCTCGCTTTATGCTTAAAACTAAAATCAAATTCAACTAGAAACTCCTACCATCTAGCCTGTTTGGCAGTGAGCCTTGGTTGGGTGAAAAAATGACTAACTACAACATTATTAGTCTTAACAATGAATTTGGAACTCAACAAGTAATGTTGCCATGAACATAAAGAATGGATAACTATTAAAAACTCATTCTCTTGAGCTGATATCTCTTTTTGGCCTTATTTAACTTTCGACTTTCATATGCTATTGGGTGTCATTCTTGTAAAAGCACTCTTTTAATAGCAAAATTGAATACATTTTTTTAGACTTTAAAAGGCCTTCCAATATCGAAGAAAGTTAAGACATGGTTTTTTATCATAGTTTTTTTTAGCCCTCAAAAGCTTTTTGGCATTCGTTTGTCCAATACCATTTCTACCTTTTTTTCGGTAACTCAGTGAGAGCTATTATTTTGTAATAGTATCCCTCTACTAATCTTCTATAATAGTTGGTTAGTCTAATAAATGAGTGAAATTCACTTGCATTTTTCAGTGTTGCCCACTCTTTGATAGCTTTAACCTTTTCAATGTCTATTCAAATGTGGCCTTGTTTAACAATGTGACCTAAAAAGTGAATTCGTGTTTACAAAAAGGGAGAGATAAATAATAAATAATTATAAAAATTATAAATATATTTATAATTTATTTTTATAATTTTTATAATTATAATTAAATTATAATAATAATATTATAATTTAATATTATTAAATATAATGTTATTAAATATTAATATGATTAAATTAAAATATAATTTTTAATATGATTAAAATATAATCAAATAGAATTATTAAAATATAATCAAATAGAATTATATTATTCTATTCTTAATTATTATATTCTATTAATATTAGATTGAATATTAGATTGAATCTACCATTATTATATATTATTATATATCATTATATTAAATATGGCATAAATATGGCACATTTATCCCTTTTCATATACAAGTGATTGTCATATAGCCTTTGAAACACAATGCACAAGTGTCTTAATACTTTTCCAAAGTAAAACTATAGACCACTATGTCATTTAAGTAAATGACTACAAACTTATCAAGATAATCATAAAAACACCTAATTCATCAAGGTACAAAATGTGACAAGGGCATTAGTCAATTTAAAAGGTATAACAAGAAATTCAAATGCACCATACCACATTACACAAGTGATTTTTGGCTCGTCTTCTTTAGCATTTTTGACTTGATGGTAGCCGAATCTTAAATTCTGTTTGGGGAAGTACTTGGCCTAACTTAATTGATCAAACAAATTTACAATAAAGGGGATATGATATTTGTTCTTCATATTGACTTTGTTTAAGACCTTGTAATCTATATATAGTCGTAAACTTCGATCATGCTTTTTTTGAAATAACAATCGTGCCTCAAATGGTGCTTTCATTGGTTTAATAAATCTGGCTTGCAAGCGATTATCTAATTACTTTCTCAGTTCAACCAACTCTAATAAAACCATGCACTATAAAACTTTAACTAGCAGTTTAACTTTTAGAAGAAGTTCAATCTCATAGTTTATCGATCTTCGAGAAGGTAAGACCTTAGGTGATTGCTGTGGTATCATATTCTTAAATTTTTCTAATAGTTTTTACATCCCATCAGAGACTAATTCTAACTCAATCTCATCTTTGAAAATCGGCATGGCTATATAAGAGGGTTTTCCTCTCCTTACCTTTTTTTTGAATTGCAACATTGAAATCAGTTTTTTTCCACTTTTAGAAGGATCATGGCTGGCACAACACATAGGCATTCCCTTAAGAACAATAGACAACTAACCATAGAGACAGGATCGCCTAAGTCAACATATGAAGTTAAATCTTATGATAGTATCAAAGTTATCCATGGAGGAAATCATGAAGTCTACATTTTTTTCCCATGGCCTTAACTTGGTCATCACACCTTTGAAGCTTCTATTGATTGCAAAGGTTGACGAGTTAATCCCCTACTCAAGGGTCTATCCACTCTAATCATCTTTTTCCCATTCTCAAAGTTGGAGTTATTACCACTTGATTAAGGATTCTTTCACTTTGATAGGCCATCATTATAATCATTGAGATGGTCGATGGTAACTATAGCAGTGGCTATGTCTTGCACTTTTTATTTTTACAGCTCTGTCTTAGCCCACAGCTTGAGGCCTTCAAGGAAATAAAACATTTTTTCATTTTCAAACATGTCCTTAATATCCAATATCGAGGTAGAAAAGTTCTTACAAACTCATCATCATTACCATTTGTGCCAATTTTTGAAGCTTCTGTCTAGCCATATACTCTACATTTTTAAGAAAGAACTGATTTTTCAACTCTTGTTTAAGATCTGCTTAAGTTCTAATATGACACTCATTATTTACAAATTTTGAATGCCACCATAATTTGGCATCTCGAGCAAGATATATTATAGCCATTGCAACCTTATCTTCTTCTGAGTCTATGTGCAAAGCTCGAAAGTATTGTTTCATATCAAATAAGAAGTTTTCAAGCTCTTTGGTATCCATTGCCCCCTTATATTGTCAAGGTTCTGACACCTTGGCCATCTTGCCCTTTTCTATAGACTAGAACCAGACCTAGCCACAACCAATTGTAGAATGCTCACTTAGGCCTTGAACTCTTCAAACTCTTTTTACAGAATGCTCAAAATGTTTCTTATCTCATCAACACACCATTTAAAGTATTGGACAACTTTCGTTGGCCTATCTAGATCTCCTTTAATCAATCTTAAATTACCATATGAGCTTTCAATGCAACCAATGTAACCTCAAGCTCCGTAATCCTTTGGTGATCCTCTGATCCACTATTAATTGTAACCATTTTTGCTTTAATTAGAACACTTCTCGACCGTGCTCTGATGCCACATGTTATGGGCTAAACTTTCTCTTAATGAAGTAATAGACCATATGGCATTTGGATGGACACTTTCTGTATAAATCAACCAAGATAATTTACAATCTAAACAAGCAACAAGCAACAAGCAACAAGTCATAAGTTAATCTCAATGATGCACAATGAAATATCGGGGCACAATGGGTGCACACTAAATCGACTTCTGGTGCTCCTACGAGAAAAAATATTTTATTAATATCAATATTATTATAAAGACTATAAAAAGAATATCGAGTTTTCCACCATTGTCGGGGTCAAAGAGGTAACCCTAAATGGGTACTTTAACACGTACCTTAACTAATGAAGTAGCCTAATAATCTATCGACTGCTCACTCCCTCTAAAAAGCTTAAGAGTTTTTAAAATTATGCTACCAAAATTATTATGAGTTTGAAATAAAACTATTTTTTTTAACCCATAAATCTATCTTCTCTTTTAATATTTTTACTTAATTATAGCTCTATATAAGAATAGCTTATGACATCTTATGCCTAATAATAACCTTGTACAAGATTAGCTTCTACCACATAACTTATTGAATTAAAAATCGGAGCCAGGAAATAATAGTACTAAATCTCAATAACATGGCTTCCAGCAAAATCCAAAAGGTTTTTTTGAAAAACCAAAAAAAAAAAAAAGCAAGTACGCAATAGTTAAAAACTTAAAATGAGTAAAAATGGTTGGTCCAACAAAGGCAAAGAGTATTATAAAAAAGGGGGCGGGCAAAGAGTAAAATATTAAAATAAAGAGGAGGAGCTTCTGGTTCTATCCAAATGGCCCCACAATCCAAGAGCTTTACCCTTTTTCTCAGACCAACCATGATTTTCTCTTCCTTGTTCCTTCTCTTCTTCTTCTTCTTCTTCTTCTTCTTCTTAGGAATCCCAAATAAACCTACCCTACCACTTTGCCTCTCCTTTTTCACCCTTCCCGAATATCATCTCTCTTGTCTATCTTGCAATCCTCCTTTTAGTTTTTACCTATCCAAAGTTTCAAATTGTCCTTCAATTTCCTTCACATTTTGTCTCTATTTCCATACAATTCACTGTTCTTTTTTTTTTTTTTTCCTTTTCCCCTTTTTTCTCAGTTTCATTTACAAATTACCATTTTCCAAACTGGATAGTCTCTGAGTTATTGTAAAATCTGTTTAATTTTGAGTCAAAAGGATTCATTTTGACATCTGAGTGTTGGTCGATTTGAGTTGTTAAGAGTCGGTTTAGGTGTTGAAGCCTTTCTTTTTTTACTTCAGTCAAAACAAACCATTGTTGCTTTATGGGTTTGTTAAACTTCGAGTTTTTAGTGGTGGGTTGTAATTTTAGTGGTGTGATTCCTAAGATCTCTGGGTGAATTGTATGTAGAAGTGAGTGTTGGTCATTGTGTTGTAGTTGTTATTATTATTATTATTTGAGTGAGAAAACAAAACAATGAAGAGAGGTAAAGATGATGAGAAGATTATGGGGCCTATGTTCCCTAGACTTCATGTTAATGATACCGAGAAAGGAGGGCCAAGAGCTCCTCCAAGGAATAAGATGGCCCTTTATGAGCATCTCAGTATTCCTTCACAGAGGTTTAACCCTGGAGTCTTGCCTCTTAACCCAAGTAATACAAGCAGTTTGGTTCCTCCTCGTTCCTCAAGCGAGGTATTTCTTTTTGTGCGATTTATCTGTCTCTTTGTTATTCTCATTGGTTCATAATGGATTATCTCCTTTATATATGTTACTGTAATTTTTATGTACATCTGTTGGGGTTTGATGAGAGGTTAACTGTCATCTGGTTTTATTTCCTCATGAAATCAACTTTTACTCACCAAATTTTTTCGAAATGGAGCATGCATTATTGTAATTTTATAGGCATGGTGGTTTGTACTATCTCTGATTTCTATAACTGATTGATGCTTGCAGGGGAGTAGCCTTGAAAGAAATATGCTTTTCCCGTCCCATGTATCTCCTTCCACATCCACTACTCTGGCTGAGAAGTTTCATACTCGCCAGCTTGGAGGAGCAAGTGCAAATGGTCCTGTGTCACGCCTTGAACGGAGAAGGAAGGTCAGACTCAGAGATGAAGATGATTTCATGGTTCCTGTATTTGTTAACTCAGAGACAGGTCAAGAACGTAATAAAACTAAGAATGGCTTTGATGGGGAAAAACTCACTTCCTTGAGCCCAATTGATCCTGGCCATCAAATAAAGCTCCACAATGTTTGTGATATGGATCCAAATCAGAGTAGCTCTTCTGTTGTCAATTTAAGAAAAGAGGTTAAAGACCCGAGTGAAGAGAGCTCAAAAGTGTGCTCAAGTAGGAAGTGTTCAGTAAAAACTGCTGCAGAGTTAGCAAATAGAGAAAATATTGATGGACGTGTTAAAGAAGCCAATGTGTCTCCTGATCAGGATTGTGGACAGCACCCTGCATCTAGACCTAGCAGATCTCATGTAAATGATGTTTGTTCGCTACAAGAGTTGAGAGCTGGCAGACAATTGGCTGATAACGGATGCATTGATGGTGCTGACTTTATGATAGATATTGGTGGGGAAATTCTTCCCCGGCAGAGAAGCATGTCTTATTCAGAGGGGAATCACAGTGTTCCTGGTGAAACTAATAATGGCAGTGAATGCCGTGAAGACAGGACTTGTAGGGCACTACCATTGGCAAATGGAGATAAAAGTGATGATGTCTCAGAGACCTTAGTGGTAGATTCTATATCAGGCTTAGATATCTCTCCTGATGATATGGTGGGAATAATAGGTCAGAAGCATTTCTGGAAGGCAAGAAGAGCGATTGTCAAGTAAGTCTTTGTTGTTTGGTATGATGTCTTGGATTTATTTCGCCTTTTTGGTTTTTTATCTGAGGATACCTTGTATTTTATCTTGTAATACTTATTCATATTATCTACTTGTATATATAATGACAAAACAGTGCAAGCTTTGTGCTTTTGAGAATGAGAGAATGGCAAAGGTTAAGCATGCACTTATATGAGAAACTTTCTAGGTACCTTAGAGGGGTGTAACAAGAAATCTTGTCTATATTAGATGATTCAAAGTGATGTTTTGGCATGCATTGCCTGGTTTAACGGTCAAATTCTTGTCCTGGTATTTGACATAATGCAGGTAGAACTCTTGAGATTGGTCACTTTAGGATTCAGAGCTCCCAGGACCTTGAAACAATTTTATAGATTGATATATCCAAATACATCAAAATATGAAATGTTCCATGCTATCTATTCATGAAAATATGATTGAATTATCTAGTACTTGTAGTTTAAATGTGATTAATATGTTATGAGGTTGTTCTATTTGCTTTTTAGTATATTTTCTCTTGTTACCATATGGAGCTGTAAGTTTTAGGTGCATGGTTGTTGTTTAGTAGAAATAAAAGCACTGTTTTTCTGTCATTATGGAAGTTTAGAGTGCTGCTTCCCCCTTATTTATTGTTTTTTCCTTTTTTTTTTTTGAATCAAAACAATCAATCACAATAGGTGATAACTGTAAACACATTATGCTTTTTAGATATTTCCTCTCGGCTGATACTACAATTGGACATTGACTAGGATCACTATTTCTAGTTGTTATCACAAGTTAATGTTGCCTTAAGTCTGCTGAATGCAATTTGGGTTACTAGTAGTAGGAATATAGAATAAATGCTATCTTGTGGAGACTAGTGAAGATGGGTTTGATGGAGGGGAGAATTTATAATCTGGAGTTCTGGGATTCCTCCCTAAGTGGCATTTTGTGTTCAGAGGCTCTCGATAACGTATTAATTGTGGATCATCTTCCAGCAGGGAGAGGGCTATCCTAATTTGTGCAAGGCAACATCCAAGACAGCAAAACTCCTATTATTTACTGTCTGCTCATCTGCATTTGGGATTTATTCCTGTCTCAGGTTGATGCTGTTTTCTTGAGTATTTTTGCTTCCATGGCACTCAAGGGCTTGGAGCGGGAGTGTAAGCAGCAGAGGATTATCCCTGGAGCCAATGTTCGGTGGATCTTAGAGGAGGCGAAGTGGAGAATGTTTGAAAATTTAAAGTTGGTGATGGATATTTTGGAAACAGATATTTTATCTAGTGTGGTATCTTGGGTTTTGTGGTGAAGGATTTATGTGGAATTGAGATCTATAAGCAGAATTTAAAATTACAATTTAGTTTCATAGTTATGTCCTATGTACAGCTTCTAATTGTTGTACATTTATACAAGTTTGTACACTTTACTCATTTTTGTGCACATATATATACTAGAAAATATTTGTTTGTGTACATACTGTAAATTGAAAATATTCTTTTTGCAACAAATGCATTTGGCTTCAGCTTTGATTTTATTGTACTGAAGCTAAATGTTCTGCATTTGGCTTGATTCGAAAATGACATTCAAAGAATTTCTCAATTACTTTTGTAGCTAGCCTTCAGATTAATTATTTTGTTGTTTTCTTCTATGTAATGCTATCATTTTTGTTTGCATGATATTTTCTTCTTCTATTTGTTAGATTCTGATTTAGCATTATCCTAATTGGGATGAAGTTCATAAGGTATGTTGTTGAAAGTGATGCCATTTTAGAGCTAAGAAAGGTTTCACCCCTCAATGGAACTGAAGTTTCTGTCGTGAAATAGTTACAAACCACCCCTCCCCAGAACAGAGAACAAGAATTTGATGACAAGTGAGAGGAATCATAGACTTCAACTCTTTACCTGTTAACCACTTTAGTCACTTTGCCCACATTTGATGCAATTCTTATCTGTGTATTAATCTTTTCAGAATAATGCTATCTAGCACTTATTATGATGAGTATCCAGTTGATATTCTGCTTTCACCTGCCAGCGATTGTGTCTGTTTAAAACTGTAATATTATGAACTCTGCAATTGCAATTTTTTCTTGATCAACTCCTGTTACTCTCTACAGTCAACAAAGAGTATTTGCAGTACAAGTGTTTGAGTTGCATAGACTGATTAAGGTAAGGTGGTTCTTGACCTTGTTTAGTAGTTTCTGCTGGTTCCTATATGGATACATGCACACACTCACTCACATATGTATATATAGAGTCAAAATGCTTAATGCTTTGGGTTGGAACAGGTTCAGAGACAAATTGCTGGGTCACCGCATCTCTTACTTGAGGATATGACATATCTGGGCAAACCCTGTTCCAAAGGCTCTCCTGCAAAGAAGCTTCCACCAGAGTTTATCGTAAAACCACAGTCACACACCAAGTGCAAAGATGACTCTGAGAAGCCAAGTCATAAAATGGAATGTTCAGCAGAAAATGTGGTTGGTAGGACATCCCTCTCTTCAGTGACAAATGGTATTCAGCCCTCAAATTATGGGCCTTTCTTCGGAAACCAACCACCTGCACCAATTAATGGTGATAACAAAATTTCTCCTTGGTGTTTCCATCAGGTGCCTGGGCACCAATGGCTTGTTCCTGTCATGCCCCCTTCTGAAGGATTGATATACAAGCCCTTTCCTGGACCTGGATTCATGGGTTCCATTTGCGGAGGATGTGGACCTTTCAGACAAACTCCAATGACAACCAACTTTATGACTTCTTACGGAGTTCCTGCTCCTTCTCATCAAGGAATTGGGGTTCTACCAGGTGCTCCTCCGGTTGGTTACACTTACTTTCCTCCTTATGGGATGCCAGTCATGAACCCAGCAGTCTCGGGTTCTGCTATGAAACAAATGAACCAATTTGCTGGACCTGGTTCCCATGCCCATAGTGGCCAATTATCTGGAGTTGGAGTTAACTTTAACATGCAACATCAAAGTTCATGTAATTTGTCTAGCGAGGAGAATGGTGGTATTTCTCATGTCATGAAGTTTCAGGCATCTAAAGACGCTGAGCTACAAGGGAGTACAACAAGCAGTCCTGCTGAGAAAGTGGAGGGAGATGGGGCCAGTAGTGCTGCTGAAGGAAAAAATGCACTTCCACTTTTCCATACAGCTCCAACCACTCCAAAGGGAGCCTCTCAGCCTCATGATACCAACCAGAGGACAAGAGTGATAAAAGTTGTGCCTCATAATCCATTATCAGCCTCTGAATCAGCAGCTCGTATTTTCCAATCTATACAGAAAGAGAGAAAAAAAAATGGAGTTTAGCTTGTGTATATCAAACAAAGTATTACTGGTAAATGATCTGAGACTTATCTAGCTACGTGCTTTACTCGGTCATTTTCTCTGTACTTTTTGGTAATGATACTGTGGAAAACCAATTCCTAACCAGATTTGATTAGGTTTCATTAATTTAGTATTTTGGTTGTTTCCTAAATAAAAGGGATTTGGTTCATTGATCAAATTCTTACTTGATAATTTTCATTTATTGTTAGAAGATTTTTAGGTGTTTTGTTATTATCTTTAGGATATCACGGAATTTGTCAGATTTGATGTTTTAGTTATATATATACTCTTGTACTCTAAAAAGTTTCTTAAGAATTCATAAATAAAATTCTCATGAATTTTTTCATGGTATCAGAGTGTTCATCTTAAATCATCAAAATCTATTTATATATATATATATATGTATGTATGTATGTATTTTTTTTCTTTCCATCTTTCTATCTACGCCATGACTAGTAGCACAAGTGTGTCTAAACCCCCTATTTTGCCTAGCACTGGTCACAAACTCAATGGACAAAACTTCATCCAAAGGTCTCAATCAATGATGCGGCTTGTTTGTGAAAAAGGTAAGAAGGATTATCTCACGCGAATGGCTTTTTCACCCAGTGAGTGTGAATCGAAGTATTGAACCTAGAAGTTGGAGAATAGCATGGTAATGTCGTGGTTAATCAATTCTATGACCAATGAGATTAGTAAGAATTTCATGTACTACAAAATTGCTAAGGAGATTTAGGATGTCACAAAAGAAACCTATTCCAACATAGACAATACATCTACAATAGTAGAGATCAAAAGCACTCTACATGACCTACAACAAGGAAACTCCTCTATCACAGAATATTTTAATTCCTTAACTAATTATTGATAGTAATTAAATATCTTTGAAGAAATAGCATGGAAGTGCCCTAACAATAGCCAACAATATAGGAAAATAGTTGAGAAGGACCGAGTTTATAAGTTTCTACTTGGTCTAAACAAGAGCCTTGATGATTTCGTGAGAGAATTCTTAGTATCAAGCCATTACCCAACATCCAAAAAGTTTTCTCCGAGGTCCGCCGAGAAGAGAATAGAAGAAAAGTGATGCTAGGGACATTATGCAATCTACAAGAAATAGAAATTTCAGCCTTTGCTGCACGAAAGCCAAAATCCTACCAAGGTGGTGAAAATCGACATAAGAAAAGTAACAAAACTTGGTGTGACCACTATCAGAAGGTAGGATACACACAGGAAATTGTTAGCAAATCTATAGGAAACCTACTGACTACAAGCCATATTCTACTTGAAATCGATAGAGTTATGGAAATTTTGCCACCACCAAGACAACTCCAACACCCCTGGAATCAAGTCCGTTCAGTAAAGAGCAGTCGGAACTCTTTTAGAAAATTGTTCAACAATCTCTTTAGAACATTGGGTCAATTGTAAGCACAACGTCTGTTGCACAATAAGTTAACTCTCTCAGTGCTCTATTTATGCAAAGTGGAAAATCAAGATCTTGGATTGTTGATTCAAGCCCATTAGACCACATGACTAGTGATGCATCGGTGTTCGATGAATACAACCCATGTACTGAAAACCTCATAGTTCGAATAGCAAATGGGTCACTTTCCTGGGTAGTTGGGACAGGTTCGGTCATTATTTCAAAGGACATAACACTTGACTCTATTCTTCATGGCCCTAATCGAGATTGTAACCTTCTGTCTATTAATAAAATTACAAGAGATCTTAATTGTGTTACTAAATTTCTTTCTAACATGTGTGAATTTTAGGGCTTGGATTCGAAGAACAAGATTGATAATGCTAGAATGTGTACTGGACTCTATCTTCTTAGAGAGGAAGAATCTAAGAGACAATCATGGAAGAGTGCTTATTCGGTTTCATCTTCTAGTTAGAGTAAAGAAAATATAATCATGTTATGGCACTATTGTTTAGGACATCCAAATTTTTGTACCTCAAAAAATTGTTCCCTTATTTATTCAATAAAGGTTTCGAGTCATTATCAATGTGAAATTTATCAGTTTTTCAAACACACTCGTAATTCATATCCAAGTCAACTATAAAAATCAACTCATCATTTTTCTATGATCCATAATGATGTTTGGGGACCATCGAAGGGTTAACAATATTACAGGATCTAGATGGTTTGTTATCTTCATTAATGATTAGACTAGAGTTACAAGGCTGTTTCCATGAAAGACAAGTCAGAGATTAGTTCAATATTTCAAAATTTCAACAAATGGTGCAAACTCAATTTCAAGCAAAAATTCAGGTGCTCAGCACAATAATGGGCGAGAATATTATCACTCAGTTCTTAGATCTTACTTGTTAGATAAGGAATTATTCATCAAAGCTCATGTACTGAAACTCCTTAACAAAACAGAGTTGCCGAGCAGAAGAACAGACACCTAATGGAAGTTGCAAGATCTATTATGCTAGCTTTTCATGTCCCGAAACATTTATGGGGAGAGGCAATCCTGACAATAGCCTTTCTTATTAATAGGATGCTTTCTCAAATACTAAAATTCCAAACCCTCTATCAAACTCTTCTCAAAACCAACCCTCATGTCCAAATCATTTCCTCCATACCAGTCAAAGTATTCGGATGTACTACCTTTGTTCATATACACTAACAACAATGCAGTAAACCAAACCCCAGATCACTCAGGTATATATTTCTTGGCTACTCACCTAACCAAAAAGGTTACAAATGTTATTAACCAACTACAAGAAAGTTTTACACTTCTATGGATGTCACATTCTTTAAGAATCAGCTATTCTATCCCAAAGCCGATATTAAGGGGGAGAGTTTTAGGGAATATCAACTTTGGGAGATTGAGCCATCCTCTGATCCTTTCTCTACTTGTCTGCCAATTCAAATTCCCATTTCAAATAATTCTTCTTCTTCTTTCTAGTCAACTAGTCATCTTGAGTCTCCAAAATCTCCTGAAACCGTGCAAGAGACAAAAGCTAAAGAAATAATTGTATACTTAAAGAGACCGAAATCTCAAAAGGAGATAGGGACTTGTACATTTCCAACACAGAACCAAGATTCTGAACCAATTCAAGGGACTTTTGAAATTCATACAGGTAACACAATTATTGAACCTATCTCTGATGATTTTTCTAGTGATCTTGATCAGCCCATTGCTATAAGAAATGTGTGAGATCATATACTCAGCACCCCATTAGTAACTTTGTTTGCTATGAAGGGTTGTTTTCTACTTATTGAGCAATGGTTACATCATTAACTAATGTTCATATACCAAATACCATCCAAGAAGCGCTCAAACAACCAAAGTGGAAGGCTACCGTAATGGAAGAAATGCAAGCACCAAAAAGAATGGCACATGGAAAATTACTGATCTTCTTGAAGAAAGAGCCCATGGGATGTAAGTAGATTTTTACTATTAAACACAATACAAACGGAAGTGTGAACAAATTCAAAGCTCGTCTTGTGGCTAAGGGGTTCACTCAATCTTATGGGATTGATCATGAGGAGATGTTTGCTCCTCTAGCAAAACTGAATTCTGTCCATTTATTACCATCACTTGTTGCAAACCTAGATTGGTTTCTTTACCAACTTGATCTAGTGGTGATCTAGTGGAAGAGGTCTACATGAAGATTCTTCCAAGGTTTGACAACCAGGACAAAATCGGCAAGGTATTTAAGCTTCAGAAATCCTCATATGGCCTCAAACAATCTCTTTGTGCCTGGTTTGATTGTTTGACTAAGGTTGTTAAAAAAAAAAAATAGGTTCTTACAATGCCAATCTGACCACACAATGTTTGTCAAACATTCACCAAATAACAAGATTGCTATTATGATTGTTATGTTGACATATTGTCCTCACAAGAGATTATGAAAGAAAATAGTTGGATTGAAGACTCTTCTAGCTTAAGAGTTTGAAATATAGGACTTAGGACAACTTCGATATTTTCTTGGCATGGAATTAGCTCGATCAAGAAATGGTATTTTTGTTTCACAACGAAAATATGTACGATCTTCTCAAAGAGACAGGGATGCTCAGGTGTAAACCAATGGATACTCTGATGGACCCAAATGTCAAGATGGGAACCGGAGATGGAAATCCTCTTGCATACCAAAACAGTACCAGAGACTTGTGAGAAAATTAATTTATTTGGCACACACTAGACCTGACATTGGCTTCTGTGTAAGTATGGTGAGCAGTTTATGAACGATCTTACAAAGACACACATGGAGGTAGTATATCGGATCCTTTAATACTTGAAAATAAATCTGGACAAAGGGTTGCACTTCAAAAAAAACACTAAATAGAGATGTGGAGATTTTAGGCTGGTTCTGTGACAGACTGAAGGTCAACTCAGGGTGTTATACATATGTATGGGGCAACTTGGTTACCTAGAGGGGCAAGAAGCAAGTAGCGGTAGCCCAAAGTAGTGCTAAAGTTGAATTTAGGGCTATGTCTAACGGGATTTGTGAAGGAATTTGACTTGAGAGATGCTACAAAACAAAGAAGTCAGTTGGGAATTCAATGAAACTGTTTTGTGATAATAAAGCACCTATTAACATTGCCAAGAACCCTATTCATCATGATCGAACAAAACATGTAAAGATTGATCGAATTGAAAAAGGCGCAGTCAAACTAGTCTACACTCCAATAGAACATTAGACAGCCAACATTTTCACCAACGCTCTTCATCGTGGCAATTTTGAGAATTTGAAGTCCAAGTTGGGTATGATTGATATCTACCACCCAACTTGAGGGGAAATATGGAAAACCGATTCCTAACCAGATTTGATTAAGTGTCATTCATTTAGTATTTTGATTGTTTCCTAAATAAAAGGGATTTGGCTCATTGATCAAATTCCTACTTGGTAGTTTTCATTTATTATTAAAGGATTTTTAGGTGATTTGTTATTATCTCTAGGATATCATGAGATTTGCCAGATTTGATGTTTTAGCTATATGTATATATTCTTGTACTCTAGAAAGTTTCATAAGAATTCATAAATAAAATTCTCTTGAGATACTGTAACCTTTTCTTACTAATTTTCTATTTACGTATCTAGTTATAGTTTATTCATATGTAGATACATCTTTGGAAGATTACAAGGCATTGTAACATGAATTTGTTGTCTCTTCAATACCTTGTGATGAAATCATTTTAGGCAGATGCAATCATGCTATGACCCTTTTAAGGGGAAAGATAGCTTCTGAACATGATGTACCTGATCACTATCTATCTCACTAGCTTCTTTTTGTGATTTCATTAGCTCTACTGCATCACTGGTTGCGTTTCTGATCTCGTGATTTCGTTCTCTCAATTGGATCACCGGTTTCTTTTATTTGAAATCTTTCCTTATTCTTCTTTATATTTAAAATTAAAGAAAAATAACATTTCTCTTGTATCCTTGTTTTTTCACAACTATTTGAAATCTTGTATGCAGCTGAAATGTGAGAGGTGGAGAGTTGAGCCAGAAAGAAACATGTGTCAGCTTGGGCGAAACTGTTCCTCTTTCAGTGGGCAAAGGAACCACCAATGTCGTTCAGAAGGTAATCTTGTATATTTGTATTGTCAGTAAAATGAATTGATTAGAAGTGAAAGCTCATTACGATCTGTGGAATTTATGTTTGTTTGGTTGCTGGGAGCATGGAGGGGATGACGGAGACAATTTCTACTTCTTATAAGTAACATTCTTACTTGGACTAATTCGTTTTCTTGTAAAATGCTCATTCAATTTGAATCTAACCTTTAACCTGGGTTGCACATGGTAATACTAGTCTTGGTTTGTTTTATTCCTCCTCTCATTTTTTAAGCTGGTAGATACTTCTAGTTTAGTGTTCTCACTTCTCAGATTCTGTCTAATCAGAATATTTTTTTGTGAGTTTAGTAGCAAAATAACTGTTTTTTCTGAACTTAAATAGAAATCCACAAACCTGTATTACTAGATGTTAAGAACCAATTTTAAGCAGTCTTATTCTTGGTTTCAATATGCATGATAATCTTTCCCTATCCTATGTTGTAGAATAGTAAGAAGCATGATGTGAGTCTAAAATCTAATTGTAAATTTGCATGACTCTTTTCGGTTCACATGCTGTGATGTTGATTGAGGTTTTCTTTGATCCGTTCTTACTGAAAGTTGCTTGGGGTCAAATGAGCTTTGTGCTTTGAAAACCTATTCCTTTTCTAGAGAGTATCTGTCTTATATCTTATGTTTTAAAGTAGCCTAATGTAGATACTCTGTGTTTAACTTGAATATAATTAAACTTCTGCATTTTCTGTGACACATTACTTGTAGTTACTTAATTGCATAACTTCAATTTACTATACTTTGGTCTCTCTTTCTTTCTCTAGTGCAAGTTTTGTATGAGGGAAGGAACTGTAACAATGATCTCAGGCTGAGGTCAACCATCGACCCAGGAAGAAAGTGAAGGAAAATATGCCCCTTTGATGCGTTTTGATTGCACGGGTTATGAGACTGTAGGTTTTGTATTTGGTGGTGGCTGGAGGGTTGAATCTGTAAGTCTTTGTTCATCATCCTCCACCCTAGATGCTATTTTTATTAGGTAGCAGAAATTGTGAAAATAGCTTATTATAGCAAGGGCTTTGGAATGCATATTTTGTTATTTATCAATTTTCCAGTTCCAATCATAGTAATACATGTTTTTTTAAAAAAATAAAAAGAAGAAGAAAAGAGATGAGGACTAATTGCTGCATAGAAGACCCTGCTTAATATCATGCATATCCTGATGTTTGATATATTTCTTTTGATGTAATTCCTTGTTAGGAAGCACCTAGTTTGGATTTTTTCTACCTACTTAAACAAGTGTGCTTGGGCATTCACAAAGTTACTTATATGACTTGGCTGCAGGTGACTTCGCTGAATATGATGAGAAGGGAGAGTGCCCAGTGATGATATCCAACCTCTGTTTCTACTTTTGACGTGGTGAAGTAGAGTAATGCTACTCCCCTGCTTTCGCATGTTTTGGTAAATAAAACTGACTGTTCATTATGAATGATATAGAAACTTGTAACTGGATAACATGTAGGCATGAAACTATATCCAAAGGTGGTTTAATGTAAAATGTTCAGTTTGAAGTGTTAATAGATATACACTGACAATGGTTCAAACTGATTAATGAATCACATTTTGTCTGTGCCTTGTGGTTTTCTCGACTTTTTGAATTATGAAGATAATTACACCAGATGCAATAGCTCTTTGGCTGGGATGAAACAAATTGTTGGTTTTTTAAAGTATTTTAATTCCTTGTGTTTGAGAATGGATTCTTTTCAGACCTGGAAAAGTTTTATGATTCTGCTCTTCGGGTAAAGAGCTGAGGTGGGCTGGTCTACCTGATTTTGTTTTCAATTCACATTCTTATTTGGAAACCACCATTCACTGGGATACACTAATGTTCTTCCAGCACTCGTGAATGTACCGATAAACTTGAAGCCGCATGGCTACTCCATATATTTGTTAGTGCATCGCATGTATCAGGTATCGTGAGAGATTGTGTTTTGTTGGAAGGAAAGGCTAATATTAACTCGGAAACAAACAACCCCCCTGCCCCCCACCTCTTACCACTACTTTGTTTACGTAAGAAACAATCGACTGATTCTGAATTGAACGTATTTGTTCCATTTGCAGTATGCATTAGAATATTTGGGGGATGTTTGAGGAATTGTACTTCACCACGTTGCTTCCAACCAGCCTGCATTAGCAACAGAATACTATAGGTGGAAGGGGTTGCACGTCTCATGCACGTATTCGTTAGCCATCTTATAGGTGGGTCCCGATCCGAGCTTCGTTGATGGATGAAACTCCACCTTGAGGTTTAATAAAGCAGATGAAAGAAGATTCGCTAAACCAACCAGCTCTGCCATTAAATGTGTGAACAACATAATCGTTAAACCTAAATCCAACGTTCAATGACGTGAGGGTTTTGAACTTCTATCTGAACTGGAACTGCCTTGCCACTTTTTAGGGCACCATTACCCCTAGAATTTTGGTCATCAAAGCCTCATTCATCCCCTCCCTGGTGCCTTGTTAACATCTTATCTATAAATGTACAAAGCCATTATCTCCTTTGAATTCCCATACTATCCCCTGGCATGTCAAGTTGCATTCTGAAACTCCATGGGACAAGACTGTCTTTTCAAGTCGCTCAAGGTTGGCCCAACATCACAAATCTTAAACGTGGCCCTATCATTTTTAAAATTCCGTCTTCACATAAGTAATCGCCCCGACAAATGGCAACGCCAACTCTCAAAGCAAGAAAAGGAAAAAAAATCGCTTTCCTCACACTCCCATTCTTCCTTCCTTTCCTGAGTGAAGAAAAGAGACATAGGAATTAACTCACCACAGATTTTCACAAGACACTCTTAACACCACAAAATCCAAAACCGAATTCTCATTTTCATCTTGTTCTAACACTATCGTTTCTCTTCCATATCTATTTCCCTTGCCTACACCAAACTTTTCTGTCCTCCTCTGCCTAACCTCCTTTCAAGGTACCTAAATAGAATTAAATAACCTCTTTATCTCTTTTTTTTACCTAAATAAAATTAAATAACCTCTTTGTCTCTTTTTTTTTTTTTTTTTTTGTCTTTCTTTCTGCACCAATAAGTTTACATGGTACGTTTCACTACCTTCTACTTCAGTTTTTCTTTTTTCGGACTCCATCGACCTGGTTCTGTCTTTGATCTTGCCTTAGGGTCTTGATAAGAACAGTGTTTATCCTCTACCCTTTTGCTTTAAAATCTTGATGTTCACTCTATTAGTTTTTTTTATTCAGGTGGTATAACTTGTCAGCTCTAGATCTGTTATTCTATTGTTGTTTCTATTACCAAGAAGGGCTGTACTTTTTGAAGGTAGTTAGATAGTAAAAACCCCAGATACTGGAAATTTTCATTGAATTAATCGGTTGCGATCTATCATGTAAGTGCTTTTCGTTTGCTGCTTTTGAGTTGAAACCAAAGAAAAAGGGGGCTTTTGGATCTGACCCAGAAGTTGAATTCTGCTTTTGATAGTGTCTTGAAATATGCAAACAAGAGTTGGGTCGGTTGGGTCGGTTGGGTCATTAGATGAAGGCAAGGATCCTGTGGTAACAACTAGGACAAGCCAATCTAGGACTTTGCCACTAAGAGTACTTCAGTTATTTGGTTTATTTCTTGCTCTCTGTATTGCCTTTTCGATCATTAGTATATATACAATCCGGCGCTTTGGAATTTATAGTGTGGTAACTACAGTTAAGTCTAATTTTGTGCCTTGTGTTGAAGAACCAAATAGTTTGGATCATTGGAGAAAACCTCCGTCGAATTTGCTTCACTCAATGAGTGATAAAGAGTTATTATGGAGAGCATCTTTCGTGCCTCAGATAGAGAAGTATCCATTTAATAGACTTCCGAAGATTGCTTTTATGTTCTTGACCAAGGGGCCATTGCCACTTTCTCCTCTTTGGGAGAGGTTTTTGAAGGGGCATGAAGGGCTTTATTCTGTCTATATTCATTCGCTGCCATCCTTCAATGCCGAGTTTCCTCCTTCTTCAGTTTTCTACAGGAGACAAATCCCAAGTCAGGTATGCTATTGAAAATGTCCATTTCGTTCATATTAGTTTTCACTTTGCTTCTGAATTTTGTAAATTGTTTTAATCATCTTTGTTCTTTGTCATGTTAAGAAACCCTCCACCTTTATTCCTCTGTAACATGGTTTGTGTGTTTTTTTTACATGCTTATGTACATGATGATGAATTATTGTCCTTATTTTGCTCTTATTCTGTTTAGAACTTCTCTTATTTAGCTTCAGTGCCAAGAGCAATAATAGCATGCTTGGATGTCTTCTAGAATTTTGTTATCTGTTTCTTAACTGTTGGAGAGGTTAGCATTCTTACATAATTACATTCAGAAATTTTGTTTTTGAAGATTAGACTTAGAACTGCTACCATTCATGGCCTCTCGCTCTTAACCCTTTTTTTTTTTTTTTTTAAAAGAAGAAGAAAAGGATGTTAGTTTGTGCCTCTCTTCAACTATCTACTTAAATCCCTGTTTGATTGGTTCTTGTGTAGCTGGATGGTTGTGTTTTAACTGTGCCATTTTGTAACCTCTTTGCAAATGAAGGAGTTGTTCTTGCATACAATACATATAGGCATACAACTGGTTCATTGTAAACACACATGTATGGTCATGATTCATGAACACAAAATAATATCTCTTTGATAAACACAAATAGGAAGTGGCGTGAGATGTATTTAATTGTTCTGTAGCTTGCACTTTGAGATCTGTGTATTATATAGTCTGTTGGGTTGTTTTGTGCTACAAACTGCAACACAGGTATAAGAACCTCGTATTTAATTGTTCTGTGGCTTGCACTTTGAGATCTATCTATTATATATTCTGTTGGGTTTTTTTGTGCTTCAAACTGCACACCATATCATTGGTGCTTTTTGAACTGGAGACAAAGTCAGTGCTGAAATAATCATGCAGGGTAACATCAGGTTGCTGCAAAAACTGTATGGTTTAGAGGTCTTTTAAGTAGTGAATGTGTGGGGAATAGGTTTGCTTTGGGAGCAGATAGCTATAACGTGTCAGCCAACTTGTAGGAGATGAAAAATTATTTGTGATTGAATTTCTCTGAGGAGATTTCACAAGTTTTAATCTTGGCTTCGAAATCCTGGTCCTTAAGTGGAACTAGGTGTGAAATAAATGATTATTTATTTGGGTTTCCACACGAAGATAGAAGAATCTGGTAGTTTACATGTTTTATTAAACTGAGTTCTGCTGGGTAGAATATAGACTAGGACAGATGAGAAAATCAGTGCTTACCCCTGTGGTGGGCTTTACAGTGCATAATCTTGAAAGTTGAAATTGTTACTGCAAAGTTTGTGCTTTTGTCTTTTTCTATTTCTTTAACTTTGTGTAATCACATGATGATAAGATGGGTTTGAGATAGCTCCCAGATATCCGAACATATAATTACAATGTAAAATGTCTCCTTTTCAAGTACACCTGAGTATGTTAATGTGGTTGCTGATTTTTTTTCCTCCCATCAGTCGTGATTAATAATTCTTTGGCATTTGTTTTAAAACTGTTCAGATATAGTTTTTCTTTTTTTTCCATTTCTTTTGGGTGTTGAGGCGTTCCTGATTTCTTTATTTGCTCCTCTGCAGGTGTCTGAGTGGGGAAAGATGAGTATGTGTGATGCTGAGAGAAGGCTCCTTGCCAACGCCTTGCTTGACATATCTAATGAATGGTTTATCCTCCTCTCTGAATCTTGCATACCTTTATACAATTTCAGTGTCATCTACCACTACATAAAGAAATCCAAGTATAGTTTCATAGGTGCATTTGATGACCCTGGACCATTTGGTAGAGGACGTTACAATGAGAATATGGCTCCTGAGGTGAATGTCACCCAGTGGCGTAAGGGGTCCCAATGGTTTGAAATTAACCGAAAGCTTGCAGTCAACATAGTGGAAGATATTACATACTACCCAAAGTTTGAACAGTTCTGCAGACCAGCATGTTACGTTGATGAGCATTATTTCCCCACCATGTTAACAATTCAGGCACCAAACCTCTTAGCAAATAGAAGCATCACATGGGTAGACTGGTCAAGGGGTGGGGCTCATCCTGCTACATTTGGTAGGGCGGACATTACAGAAGAGTTCTTCAAGAGACTCTTCGAAGGTCATCAGTGCAGGTATAATGATCAGCTGTCTTCGATTTGTTTTCTTTTCGCCAGAAAGTTTGCTCCAAGCGCTTTGGAGCCTTTGTTACAGGTAGCACCAAGGGTGTTGGGCTTCTAACTTCCAAGTGATGAATGAATAAAACCTGACAGTGCCAGATTTAGATCCTGAAGCAAAATCTGAAGTGGAGATTGGGTCGATGAGACTATGGTAGCATTCCCGGTACATTCTATGATCTCATTACGTAAATGGGTCTTCTTTTTTGTCTTTTGCTTTTATAAATTTAACCCTCATCAGTCATATGATATGGTTTCTGACTTTGTATACTCTCCTAATTCTTTGGCACTCCCAAAACCATTCTGTATATACAGAAAATTGACTCCCAACGGTTGTGGTATATTCACATTTTTGTATTAAGATTAGAATAGTTAGGACATTAGATAGTGCATTGTATTTTGGTTTGTGCGCTTTTCACTACCCTCTCTTTTGGGATTAGGTTGAACTTAGAATATGGCATCATGTAAAAACGTTGGCTATGATTATGATTGAATGATTTGGTAAGGGAACATAATTATGTTAAAAATGCATTTTCTTCCTTATTATACTATTAGCGGGGTCAGATCTTCACCAAAATTCACCCAAATATCCCTTTTTCTTCTTTAATTCTGTAAGTGGTTTTTTTTTTTTTTTCCATGAAACGAAGGATGACAAAAAAAAAAAAAAAAGCAAATGAAAAATCTTTGTCCAAGTCTGAGATCTGATCTGATACCATTGAACAAGTTTTAAGAAGTTGGTGAAGAACTGATCACATAAAATCGTGAGACAATTTTCACCCTTATCTTTAATTATAAAGATTGCTTATTAGTACAGGAAACCGTGAAGGTTTTGTCGTGAAAAATGAAACGGCATAAAAAATTATAACAGAAGAAATTGGAGGGTCGTGGGAGTTGAAAAAGCCATTAAGCATGAAAGTTGGACCGCTTCTTCTCATCTTTTTGGCTTTGGGTTTTGTCTTCCGTCTCTACATTTTCTTTGTTTTAAGCTCTATCAGTTGTGCAAGTATGATAATCCATTGTTATTATGCCAGTATATTTTTGTTGCCTCATGATTTTTTTTTTCAGCATTTGGTTTAGAAATTTTTCCAAAATTTCATTTTCTAGTAGTTAGAAGAGAATCCACATTTCTGTAAAAAAAAATTAACGAGAACAAGCTTGGCAAAGGAAAAAAAAAATGGAAAATATATATAAAAAAAAGTTAAATTAGTTTTTTTCAAATTTTAATCCATAGACAAAGAAATGTCACGGGTAATAAAAAATATATCATCATTATTATCAATAAAAAATAAATTCGTACTTGTCAATAATCACGGTCAACATAAGTCAACGTTGTAGAGGAAGTTTCTGGAATTCATCTACTAGTATACACCTGTCTTTCTTTGCTTTGCTTCCGATTTCAAAAATTAAATAAAAAAAAAAAAGGAACTCCAAGTGTTCTCCTCCGGATGGCCCAAACTCCGCCTCTAACCGTGTGATTTTTTGTGGGACTCTCAATGAATCCGCATCATTTCAGTTAGTTTCGAGGCCGTCGTTTTTTCGTCAATTGCGGTCTGCCTTGCCCATCGCACCGTCTTCTCGTCTCTTCTGTTATAACCATCGTTAAAGAAATCTCCTGCGCGTGTACACACGGGGTGAATACCAAACCTCGATCATCACCCTGGCCTTTTTCAATATCCACTGGATGCGCGAGTACACAAAGCGCTCTATTACTCATTAATTCCACTACTCGCTTGAAATGACAGAATCAAATTCTAATCCGATGGAAAGAAAGAACAAACATTAACAGCGTCTAAACAACTGCGGTTTTTGGTCATTACAAAAAAACCGGGGTTAACTAAAAAAATTAAGGAAGTCCTTAGAGACGGGAAGATATCATTTATAATAATTAAATTATAATTAATAAACTATTATTTAAAAATTATTTAAAATTTACATTTATAAATGAATTCGTATAAAAAATTATTGGTAAAATGTTGGGACTGATAAAATATAAGCCGTTACTATAACAATTTCCAGGCTGGAAATCCAGGCAGCTGCCCGACCTTTCCCTCTTTTTCTCCATATATAGACGCCACCAATCCCACTACAAATTTATCATCACACATTTCGTCGCTATTTTTTTATTTTAAAAATAAAAGGTTTCTTTTAACGCTTAAGAATTCCGACAACAATGGCTCTATACAGGACTTCTTTGATGCTTGTTCTCGTCGCTGTTTGCGCCCTCATGGGTTCTGCCATCGCAGCTGACGCCCCAGCTCCAAGCCCCACCTCGGGAACGGGCTCGATCTCTATCTCCTTCGTCTCTGTTTTCGTCGCCGCCGCTATGGCTCTGTTTTTCGGATCTACTCTCAGGATCTGAAGATGCTATATTACCTCTTGTGGTGGCCTGTCCTTGGGTTGGCGGCTTTGGATGTTGTAGAAATGGTGCTCGGTGTTTCATTTATATACATATATGTATGTTTGTTTTAAATTTGGTTTGGAATTTTAGTGGTGGTAATAGTGGATCTAGGGAGTGAGTATATATATCATATAGAGAGAGAGCGGTAGCTATGTTATGTTCTACATAGATTATTGATGGTTGATGTTTGTACTTAAATTATTTCAGTATTTTTTATGGATTGATATCATTTTTATTATTATAATGTGAGATCGTTTGTTTTATTTATACTCCATTTGGTTCTTAATTTCTTGCGTTTTCTTTTTTTCTAGAAATTTCTTGCGTTTTCTCAGCAGCCAAACAACAGTAGCAGCATATTCTCTGGGACCACTGTCTTGGTCTTGCTTCGCTCTGAAGTTTGATCAGACCTTTAAGACAAATTTACCCTTCAAACTCCATTAATGCTTGGTAAATATCCTCTCTAATTCTATTCTCCAAATGATGAATGGGGTCACTTACTTTTTATGTTAAAAAAAAAAAAAAAAAGCCAGAATATGTTAAAAAATAACTTTAAAAACTTTTCACAAGTCTGGCAATGCAAGCTCTTATTTATTTAAATTATATAATATAATTATATTATTAAAAAAATTTAATCATTTATTATATATTGATAATTAATTGATAAATATTTGTAATTCTTGTGTATATAATAAATTGTTAACTTTTTTAATAACATAATTAAATAATATGGTTTAAATTAAAAAAAAAAAAAAAACATGTATTTTTTTGGGTTGGAACATCCAAATCCTGAAGTTTGCAGCGTGGATGCGCACTCGCAAATTGGCGGTTTTTAAGGTCTTTTACTACTAATGATTCGAGATGTTCACGAAAAGTTAACGTTCTTTGACAATAATAATACCAAGTGGCTTCTTATTGGATTTTCTTTTCTTTCAAGAACGCTTTATTACAACGAACCAAACACAGAAAAGTGGTGGGTGTCAGACCATAACTTGAGTGCTTTGGAAAATTTAAGATGGTGGTTGATTGAAATTTTGATAAATGACTAAATCACACACTATTTTTATTGCATTCTGGAATCCGGAGCATTTTTCTTCTTCTCCACCGAGAATGAAACCCCTTCTTTCTTTTAGTTTTTTTTTTTTTTTTTTGATAAATTAGGCTTATTTTGATGTTTTAATGTGGGCCCTATATTCAATTTTAAGTTATTTATATTCCAATCAACTAATCATGTAGTGGTATTTTAATTGCCAATTTATGAACTAATTTGAAGTCAATTTGGAGATAATCTCTCTCAAAGGAGTTACATGTCAACTTCTAGATTTGACACAATACATTTGCTTTGTCCCGTTTGAAGCTGCATTGAACTACATGGAAATTTTGAGTATTATTTGGATTTCTTTTTATTTGGTCTTACGGAAGAGACAGGTCAGGATCCCGTCAACATTCTTTCAAAAGAATTAGGCACAATCTTGATACTTAGAAATACGTTGATGTATCTATTTTATAACAAATATTTATAAAATATAAAAATTATTATATTGAATTTATATCAATATGTAAACTATGAAATATATTTTTTATTTTTATTAAATTTATATATAATTTTTTAAAAATTTTAGATTATATCTCTTTTATAATTTTCATATATTTTTATGTTGAATTTAAAATTATTAAATTTACTTAGAAGCTTGACGTGTGATTAAAAATCTCGATTTCTCATCGATTGTCATTGGCTAAAACAATGATTCCCATTGTGTTTACAGGCCAGGAAAAACCAAGCATCTTAACTGCGACAGTAAACCGAAGCTCTTTAGTTTAGCCAAGTAAAAGAAGTCTCGGGCTTTTGGACATTGCAAATACCGTCCATTGCGTTCCCTATGGAGTTTCATTTTCTTTAACGTTCTTTTTTAACTTTATCGACGTCACGTGAACATTTACTCATAATAAAGCGTTCGTTCATAATCATAGTGCCTCGGGCAGGCGGTCGTGACTCTCATGTTAGTTGGAAAAGATGTTGAATTTTTGTTTCTCAAAATTTTGTTCTCTTCCTCACTTATTTCTAAATTCTAAGCATTCATTACTGGATTATTCCATGAAGAGCAACTGAACTGTAGAGTGAAGTAACTCTTTAAGAAACTTGTTTTCGCTCAAATTGGTCGTATAATGGGATTAAGAAACTTCTGAGCAAACTGTAGTGAGTCCAACTGTTGAGCTACTAGTGAGTCAGTTTATGGGGAATTTACTTATAACCCAAAAGTAGTAGAAGTTGAGAGCAGATAAAAACTTGGATTAATTTTAATTCTTTCATTCATCTCACAGATGAAAAGGTCATCATTTTCACAGTTCAAACCCATCTCTCATCCTCAACAGAAAGACCAACTGCCTTTGACGTCATCATCATCATCTACATTGCAATAAAAATAAACACCTAAGCTGCTCCTTCCATGCTTTCTATTCAGAGTCAGATTCCATGTTGCCCATAGCCTTTAAACCTCTTGGTCTCTGCATAAGATTACATTCAAAAGATTTCAACTTCAAATTATTACAGAGGCTTTATATCTCGGAATGAGAGGGTAAAAAAAAAAGGCAATAAACCAAATCCAATTAAATTATATGGACTAACTCAAAAACCATATTTCTATTTATTTGGTACCTTCTTTGAGATCTTTTTCTCCCTGACCTCGTATCGCTCAAGGGTTAAATCACATAGCCATGCCCCCGGACTTACCAGCTGCAAAACAAAATTTTCCCAAGTCAGCATTTTCAAAGGCATATGTATAAACTATTAAGCTTGGATCACAAAAATCAATATTCTTTCAAAAATTTAAATTAATATATAAATAGTGTAGCAAGAAAAAGAAAAACAAATAATCAAATATTATTGCTTGTGTTTCTTTGGCTGGCCAATGTGGTCCACGCTGGAAGACAATTCAACCATTCAACCACCGCCTCAACAATGCAACAAACTAGAATAATGCAATTATGCAAAAGTAACCCGACAATGAAAGTATATTGCAGAAATGCCCCAGAAAATGATGGGTCCCGCAGCTGGCAGTACCTTCTTTTGTTGGTTGCTCTTCATTTATAAAATTAAAATTACTATGATTCGGGTATAAGATCAATACCGTACACCTGTCACATCACGCACCGTTCACAGAAACTCTTTTCCTTAAACACGTGTATGTTGACGCCATTCATTTTATTGTCTCTTTCAAGACATTCGTCATTCGACTGCTTCATAATTTCTAAAAAAAAATTAAAAATTTTCTTTCAATAAGTGCAAAAGAAAAGTTATTTCACTTTTGACATTCGACAACTTTCTACATTTGAAGCCGTTGAAGAATCTGATTGATGAGAAGTAAAAATTCCAGCATTTTATCGTGAAATCATGCGACTGCTATTGGTAATATTTAACAAGTTTTATCACTGCAGTTATTTATCATTTGAAAAATCTAAAAGAGCACATGAAAAATAGTAAAAAAAAGCAGTGAAAGTTAAATTATATCAGGACAGCTAATAAAAATACGCTGACTCCTGCACAACTATTTACAGGCGGTATTATTTAAAAAAAAAAAAACTGTCTGGTTGAAAAATTTTATCCAAGGACACTCATTATATTATACTTTTCAAATTTCAAATTTTGGATAAAAGAAATTAACTTAGAATACTACTTATTTTACAGCCTTTTCACTGCAACAATTAAATAACAAAGAATCAGTATTTTCTTTCTTTTTCTTAATGCAAAAAAAAAAAAATCAATCTAGATGGTCGGCGTGCAATTCGCAATTACAGCATATCAATAGTCAATAACGGAACACAAGAAGGGCACAACGCACAACAGTATCTAGGTCACAGCCTCACAGTCACATGGTTTCCAGTGGGCCAATAACAAACATAGGTCATTCTAATCAGGTGCTCGTCCACCCTATGACTACACGTCCACTATTACGTTTCACTTACTGTCGCTTTGCCCACTTCTCCCTGCGTCTTTTTCTATTTCTTTTTCTTGTTTTTTAGTAGCAAATTGCAAGTGGGCATAAATAAAAAAAATAAGAAAAGCAAACCAAGCCCTTATTCATTTATTTGACGTAATTCACAACGACTCTCCCCTACTCTAAAATGTTGTGCCTCGTCTATTCCCTATACAAAAAGCAAATTAATTTCACTTTCAAATCAAAGTATGACTAAAATTTCATTCGCATCAATTTTAAAATTTCAAAATTACGTGATTCAAACGAAATTAGGAATCAATTCAAAAAGGAGTAAGAGGAAGGGCTTACATTGAGGGTACGTTGAATACACTTGGCCCGCTTTTTGGGTCTTTGTGGCAGCTTAGATCCTTTAATGGCCATGAAATCTTCTTCTTTCTCTTTATTCGTTAAAGCAATCACGAATTTCGGTGGCCAAACGGGTGGAGCTGCCTCACCGCTCCCAGAAGACGAGCCACCCTTTTTGCTATCGTAAGCCGTCTCCGAAGATGCCGCTGATTTGTTGTTGTTGTGGTTGTTATCCTTGTTGCTGTGATGGTGGTTGTTATTGTCTGGTGAAGCGAATCCCCTGACACCACCGTTGATTTGACCTCTCATAGCACTGGAATTCTCAGAGTTCCTGTTAGCAAAATTTCACATCACGTAAGAAGAATACCTGAGACAAATATCATGGAAAGAATATGGCAAAAAAAAATAATATAATTGAAAAAGAATCAAGTGCTGTGAGTTTTGGGAAAGTAAGAAAAAAAAAAAAAGATGAGCTGTAACTGTAGAATTACAAATATAACCTTGGAGTGATCTAGATCGGTGGGTGAAGGAGAGTGGACAAAATCTGGAAAAGTATTGCGTAGAAAATGGGGGTGGGATTTTTTTTTTGCTTTCTTAGGGGAAGGTGAGATGTTGGGGTTGTCTTTTAAATGGGAGTCGTTAATTTCTTTCTTTTGATTAAAAGTTTGGACATGTGAGAGAAGAGACAGAGAGGAGTGATTCTCTCTCGATCTAAACTGCACAGCTGGTTGTTTTAGAAGGGTTTATGGCCGTCAGATTTAAGGCTTTTTGCTTTCCTGGTAGGGTAAGGTTATGTGTTGAAATATGGCTATGTATGGAGTCTAAAGTGCACCAGATTCCTAATCAAATTTGTGATCGGACGGCTGACGGGGGCTGTGGATCAAAAATTCAAAATAGACTTTTCGTGGACACATGGTGAGGTAACTGTCCATCCATGTTTCCAAGGAGTCCTCCATGGTGTTAGGACGGATACTTCGGCATCCTGGATCACGTGTGGTAAGGTCCAGAGAATCGTGCATATTATCAAAAGTTTCAAGCATGACAAGCACCATTTAGAAAACAATTACTAATAGCATAGAAGAAATGATGATAGCATCAAATAGTAATACCAATTATCAAAAATCAAAACAAGATCAAGACACTGATTTTCATCGGATTTTTTATGGAGCTTAATCTTGTTTTCATCGAAGATGGAGGGTGATGTAAAGGGAGACGACTAGTACTTTTAACATATCTACGCCAAACCATTAAAACCAAAGAATTAAAAACAAACAAAAAGCAATCAGAAAGAGAAACTCTTTTAAAACAGAAAAAAAGATCTCAATATCTCATTTGTTTTTGCAAGAAAAAGGATCACTATGAGTATAATTTCCCAATTATGGGTCATTGCAAATGAAAATCTAGTAAAATGATTATTCAAGCAGCACACAATCAAGTAAATACATGGAAAAAACACTTATGTATTCAACCCGGTCCTACTTGAAGCAACAACCTTATTTTGATCATACTAAATAAGATCCTCGAGGAAAAGCAATAGCTTTACACCCATGATTCTTATATGTCTATTTAAAGAAAATAATCACTAAATTAGCATCAACAACCTGCCTCAGTCAGATGTAAAAAAGCCTAAACATAGAAGGCGCCTTCAAAAACTCACCATGAGTTTCTCCTGAATCATACACTGGCCCCCACCTGACCAATTGGAGAGTGCACAAATATAAGCCTCGTAAAAATAATTCAGCCCTGATGCATCATATTATAAGTTCTAAAATCTTCTGATGATTCCGGATCCGACAAGCCTCTACAACACTAAAAATAGCAAATCGGAGGCTGAAATGTTTGTATACATATATGAGACCCATACAATGCAATAACCAACTAGTCAAAAGGCACATATGCAAATATCCATTCAAACTTCTGTAGGTTTTAGGAGTGTCGATGGAGCCAACTGTGCAGCTTATCTATTCCTGGAACAGAACTTTCCACCACCAGAAAAAAAAAAAAAAAAGAAGGATAATCGTCAATCGAAACCAAACATGTCAATTAACATATTATCCAACCTCTGAACAGATTGAGTACTTAAGACTCTCACAAAATTGAGGATCTTTGTAGCATGATTGAGAAGGCTTCGTTTCAGATCAAGCACAAGTGGATGCCACAACCAACAAATCTCCCAGTAAAAGGAAAATTTTTGTGGTCCTGTTTAACTAGGAAAATATTTGACCTCCGTAAACTTATTTTATCGAACGTTATATGCTATGGTCAAAACTTAATACAGTAGCAATTTCTGCTTTAAAGGAGAGAAAAGAAAAGGGTACAAGCATTTCAGAAATGAAAGTGGGACCCGAATATGTTGGATCTAAATCTTTATAGGAGTAATCATTTTAGTCGCGCCAATTTGAACTGAAACTCTAACGCCAAGCCAAGTGGCAAAAGAAACAAGACATCGAATTATCCAATACTACCACCATTGTTACCTCCATCCTAATCCCCCATCTCAGGGGAGCGTATATTACACGCGCACAACGTACAGAGAGAGAAAAGGTCAAAAGTAGTAAATAAACTCGTAAAAAATATAAATACACAATACCTGAGAACGCGCTGAGGTGGAGCCTGAGGTGAAGCAGGCCGTTGACGGAGGTTAAAATATCCATTCCCGTGATTGTTATTATTGCTTGGTCGATTTGAAGAGTCCTTGTCGACCCTCAAGACTCGGCGATCGACTCGAACCGTGGTTCGGTGAACCGGGCCGGACTGATCGTCTTTGACCTGGATCTTCATACACCTGAGACGCTTCCGGTTTCCCCACTGCAAGACAAAATCAGACGACGATGCCGTTTGCTTGGCCGGATCTGAGCGGGATCTTAACAATCCCCCGTCGCCTCCGTTTCTCTCTCTGCTGTAGTTGGTGTTATTACCATTGTTATTGCTCCTTAACGAGTCCTTTTCCATCCTTTTCCGCACACCTGTCCCATCATTTTAGTAAAAAGTTGAAATTAAATATAATTTTGGATTAAACTTTCCATTCGGATGCGGCTTCTCTCAAAACTTCCTCGCAATTTTAAACAGAAGTTGTCTTAGCTTATCATTAGAATATGTGCATCGCACGGCTAGGAATTTCCACGGAAACTATGTTAAAAAAATATATAATAAATCTAAGGAGAGAAAGCCGCCTAAGCGTGAAGAGAAGCTGAAGACAGGAAAGGACGAGCATCGAGCGGTCTTTGCATCTTCGAGGTTAAAAACAAAAGGGTGACGGAAAGTTAGCAACTGCAATCGAGCGATTTTATAAGACAATAAATGGATTAACGAGGGAAAACGGAGATTATGATAATTTTAGTTGGGATTGAGGAAATTCAGACTAGAAATAGCCGCACTAAATTGAAAATTAGTTGAGGTGTTGGTAGAGGAACATACTTGTAACTTGGAAGAAAAGAGCAAGCAAAGCTGTCTTTGGTCGTTTTAAAATGTAAGTACCAGCAAAAATCATAGATTCAACATTAAAAAAAAAAAAAAAAGGAAACCAGTTCACTTCGTTACAAGTTTTGAGGTTTTCTTTTTCTCTTGGTTTCCCGGTAACCGAACGGAAAGCCATTGGGTAAGCAGAAACGAGATGACCAACTAAAAAACAGAACAGACAAGGAAAGAAAATTCAACAGAATCGGGCATACATCACAGCAAAAGAAGAAAAACGTTTCTCAGTGAAGATTTAAGGAAGCGAAAATTAAGGATGGAGAAAGAATAAAGCGAAATCAAAACAAAGATCCAATCAGGAGGAAAAAACTTAGCGGAAAAGATCAAATTTTTCTTTAAACTGTTGAAAAAAGACATTGAAGGATTTGGAAGAAACTTGTGACTAAAATTCTAGGAAAAAAAAAACAAATAACACTGCCAAAGTGAAATTAAAATCTGAAAATTCGAACCCCCACGGCTCTCCAGAGAGATGGCGTGGACGTCGCCAGAGCAAGAAAATCTAACATTCTCGAAAAGAATCGGCTCTGTCAAAGAAACCTTCGATTCTCAATCAAACCCAAACTAGAGAGAACCGATTAGTAAAACACGGAGTGTACTGAAAAAATCAAAGAGAAAGAATAAGACGTTGGAGAGAAGAAATATAGAGAGGTTTTTTTTTTTTGTTTTTTTAGAACAAAAGGCTTGGTGTATCAATGGCGAGTCAATCATCTTTAGGAAGATTTAGAATCGGCACTCAGATAGTCAGATTCCTGATCTTATCGATGAGATAATGACTCTCATACCTGAATTACTCAGGCTCTGCCGTTACAACTTTGCTTCTTCTAGTCCCTTGGTATAAACACAAATCTACTACAGATTTTCAACGAAATAATGACATTTGAAGCCCTTTCTTCCGACTCTCATATGATGTAAGATTCTAATCTTTTAATATGTCAGCAACTGATCTGCCTGCTTGCAGATGAATTCAGTCAAAATTTCTTCTGAAGGTAGCTCTTCTTTGTTCGAAATGCATCTGTCAAACAAAAAGGGAACAAAAACAAATCATTTCCAATGAGCGAATCAAGCATGGCTTTTGTTACAAATCTCTTGAACTTGTATAACTTTTTTTCTTACAGATTCCAGAAATTTCAATAAAAGAAAATAAATCTTCACGATCAGTTATTAGAACCAGCAAAAGGTTTCTCAAATCTCTTCAATTGTATCTGCAGAAACAAAAAAAAAAAAAAAAAACGAAAATTATTCGTTAACAGTTATCCATTGAAAATATACAACGAAAATTCATCACAGTAAATCAACATATAATCAATCTCTGCTCTCAATTACACACCTAACAAATCCTCATAGTCTTCTCTCCTCTCTCTTTCTGCGTCTCGCTCGCTTGGTTTAGAATTTAGATCCTCAACATTTATTCATCAAACTATCATCAGTTTTTAGTTTTTCCTTAGGAATTTTCTGTTTGGTTGTCGAGAAAGAGGAAGAAAATAAAAAGAAACTAGCAGAGAGAGTAACAGGAAGGCTGTTTGTTGTTCTTCTGATAAAACGAAATGCTTTCTTCCGCTTTCAAAACCAACTCTTATACTTCCTCTCACCCTCCGTTACCACAAAGGTTCAGCACCCAGAATTCCTAACCGTTAATCATTAATCCAACGGCTCATATCGCCTTCTCTATTGGACCATCAACTCCGTCTCATCTAAAATCCCTGTTACGGGATTTTCATGTGCCTTGGTATCCGTAACTTTAACTCACGGCGTTAATAGATCTAGCGGAATCTTCAAACAGCGTTTAAATTAAAAAAATGTTTTTTAATTATTTTTCTCATATTTAATAATTTTGTTTTGTTTTAATTTTTCTCGCTGCCCAGGTGAGGTGGTGCTTAGCACAAGTTAAGTATGGTTGGTTAAAAACACTAGTGAAACAACCATGGTTAGTTTGCTGAACCTTAAGACAATTTAAGATTTAAAAAAAAAAAAATCTTGTAGGACAATTTGGTAATTCTCGTTTGACTTTTGGATTAAAGGATAATTGTGCTCTTCCAACTTTACTTCTCATTCGGTATATCAGTTTTTTCTATTTTTCAATATTATCATAACATCACGTGTAGGGATAAAAAAATAATAATAAGGGAAAATCAAAAAAATCAAAAATCAATTTGAATTGTAGTATTTCATTTAGTTTGATTTAATTTTGATTCAGATTTTTTTACAATTTTTCATTTAGTTTCAAATTGCAAAATATTTATTTGATTGGATTAATTTTTATTCAATATGTGAAGCCTAAAATTATTCAAACTGAGTCAATTGTATTTTTTTATTAAATTTTTTATTGTGTTTATTTATATTTTTATAAAAAATATATTTTATTAATAAATTTAAGTAAATAGTTAAAAATAAAATTCGTTAAATTTTAATAAAAAAATGAAAAACATAGATAATACAAAAACATCTTATCAATAGAGAAGCAAATGATAAAAAAAATAAAAAATCTACATAGAAAGCATATTTATGTGTTGAAATTTAATGTCAAATTTGCTTAATAACATATTTTAAAAATAATTTATAAATTAATTAAATTAAATTTCAAATTTTATTTATTTCACTTTGTAATTACTTATTAGCAATTTGTTTAATGGTAAATGAACCATGGTTTTACTTCAATAATCCATAATTATTAATAAATAATAACAAATTATTTCAAACAAATTATTACCAAAAATAAGAAATTAATTTTTATCATATTGGCACACTTACAATCATATAATGAAAATGTCATCACATGTGTAAACTTTGAAACTAATCAAGAATAGGAACAAAAATAATGAATATTGCATAGAGAACAATACCAAGAGAAAATTGGTCAAAAAACATTGTTGACCTTGCATAAAGACAAAGAAGAATTACTTTACAGATGGAGTTTGGATAAACATGAGAGCAATCATTGAAGTTCCTAAGTATCTAATAATGCACGTGACAAAAAAACTTGAAAACTTTAGCTTTAATATATATCTTTATATTTGACTAAAAATTTTGATTAAGTAAGATAAGATACCTTTAGAAAAGGAAAAAAAAAATGCTACTTATAACTTTATTTGTTGTATCTAGACTTAAAACATAATGTCCTCTTATAAGAAAATTATACAAATTATAATGCTCGAATTTGAGGCTCAATATAATATAAATTGTTTTTTTTTTATCATTAAGATAGAGCTAGAGGAGCTTTAATCTTTTAAAATTATATAATCTTTTTATATATTATGATCGTATTTGATACATAAAATTATAATAAGATAAAATAAAATTATATTATGAATATGATTAGATTATATAATATCATTATATTTTATATTTGATGTATATAAAGATTAAGATAAAATAATTTATTTATTTATCAAAATTATCATTCCTTAAAAATTATATAATTTAAATTATTATGTAATTTTTAAGAATGTAATTAAATATATAAATTTAATCTTATAGATTAAAAATTATCTTCTCGACTTGAAGAGAATTGAATAATTATAAACCAAAAAGATATTAATTTTCATTATAATTCATATCATTTTTTTATATATAAATCAAATATAATATAAAATTATTATCATCATATTTTATTAATAATTTTATGCATCAAATATAATTTATATATATTTATATTAAATAAATTTAAATTAATCTACTCAAATTAAATTTGTGTAATTTTTTATTTTTATTTATGATTTCACAATTTAATTTTATATATTACAAAAAATTAAAATTATATTATTATTTATCTATATATATATATATATATATTACACATCCTTAAATTTAAGTTCGAATGCATTACGTAATGCAATTGGAGTTGGAGACTAAAACGCTCTTGAATTCAGTGAGGTAGGTTCCAAATGAGACCTATGGCAGCAGCGCTCGCCATCCGTTCCCAACTCTTGGGCTAAAAAGCCTTCGTTACAGTTTGAAAAGACAGAAATAACCATCATATATTTATTAGGGTCATGGCTTACAGGTAGACGTTTTTTGGTCCACAAAAGGTAGTACGATTTTTTTTTTTTGCGAGGTGCCTCTCGGCCCTCTCATGTCTTGTCAAAGGTGGGTCACGCAAAAAGAACAGGGGGGAGGAATTTTTCGATTCTTTCAAACAGTAGGTAACAAGAAGGCAAGTATATCCTAGTTATTAACTTCTAGTTAGCTTTAACGCTATCATCTTCGCAGTTCGATCAATAGCGGCGTACTGTTCATAGTTTGAAAGCAAACCGTTCTCATTACCTTTGTTTTTTTTTTTTTTAATTGGAATTTTATGCCTATGCTTTAAACTGGTTCACGTTGTAGTAGATATTGATTTGATCAATAGACTTCATTAGCTTACTCGGGTTTTTAGATGTAGAGATCACTGATGAGGGAAAAGAGAAACAGATGGAAGCATTGAAAATTGAAATGCATAATGGTCCTGAACTTGGTAAACAAAATGCCAAAGGGAGTACTAGAAAAAAAAGTTTGAGTGGTCTGAGAAACATAGAAATGAATAAAAAAAAAAAAGAAGTCATAAAACTACTTTAAGGGCTGCTTTGGAAGCATGGAGGGAGTGCGGTTGGAAGTTGAAAAAGAATAGAGGGGACAGTATTGGTACCAAGCTTAGAGTAGCAGTGATTTCAATATTTCAAGTCATGGGAGGGGCAAGAGGAAGCTTGATGATGGCAAGACTCGGAGCATGGGGAAAGGGGCCAAAATCAAGAAGTCTGTCAGATTAGATACTGACTATAAATCTGGATAGGATGGTAAACCATTTAGAATGAAGAATGACTGGGGTAATAATAGAATTATTTCTTAAGATCCAGTAGGTGTTGTAATTCAGAATGTTGAGTGTGAAAGCGGATTTCGCTGGGTAATAAAATCACTGAAAAGAAGAAAAGGAAAAAAAAATGTCGAGGTGGAGGAAACAGAACAGCAGTGATTATGATGAGCATATAATCAAACAAGATGCAGCAGGTTAGAGAAGTAGCAATAATGTATTGGAGAGTTTGCAGTATGCAAGCCATTCGGGCTGCTGAAGTACTGGTTTTTTTTCTTTCTTTTCATGCATCTTTTCAATTCATTATTTTTAAAACCGTTCAAAGTGGAACCTGAGGTCTTGTCCATGTTGGTATTTTTGTTTTTGTGCCTGGCGTATTGAATGGAAATTACCATGATTTTATGGATGGGAAAGCCGACCAATTGTTTTTGAAGCACTAAGTTGAGATCGCACCAAAGTTACAAATTGGAAAAAGAAAACAGAATCAATTATATGTAACAGGGAAGGAACGACTGACCTAACTGACCCTGCTCACCCGTCACGTCTGAAATCACTTCTGGACCTAATTTAAGCACAAAGGGTGCAATTTCACCCAATAATTTAACCTCCCTAACGAGTGCCATGATGGTGAGATGAAAATAAGCCGAAATGGCAATTCCAAGTTCTCTTGATAGGAAACCAACCACAAAAATAAATGGGGCCCATTCAAGATTTTCACCAGTAAGCAGAAGTTAATTCTTTCCCCTTGTTTCTGAAACTTACGAACATTCTCTTCTCCATTCAACACATACGCAAAAGTTTCATACAATCATATATACAGATCTTCTTTCTTGGTAGAATCATACACACACGCTTGCATATGAAGCGTATTTACTTAAGCAGTCTTGTACAGAGTTGCTCTTCAGCAATTTTTGACAGAAGCAATCACACGAACAGTTATCAAAATGCAGCGTTTGGAAAAGCAGTATATAGGAAAACACATTGTGGAATGCTACATGATCCAAGTTTTGGCCTTTAATATTTGCAAATTCTGGTATATTTATGCACTGAACCCTTCCTGAAGAGAGCTCCAATGACCAGAAGGAATGCTGATACAAGTTTGTGCTGATGCCTCGGCCATCTGTTTTGTATGAATTCCAGCATTACAAATGTTTGCAAGCAAACGCATGTGTTTCACCCCATACCGGGCTAGTGATCCACAGCGTGTCTCAAAAGTTCTCACCTGTGTGGATGAACAGAGCAGATCGTCTTCTTAAGTAGAAAGGAAAAACAAAGCAACCAAAAAGTGGCTGAGAATCAAGAATTTACCATTTTCTTAAGGCATTTTGGGTCATCAACAAAAGGTTGCCCAGCTGGTTGAACAGTGTTTAGAACTTCCGGGCCTCTTTCAATTCCAAATAAGAGCTTGCCAACGAGTTTCATACTGTGGTCTATATGCATTCTATGAGACATGGCTTCAACGAACTGCATTCGGGCTTCAACCTTCCTAACAGAGCCATCAGGTGCCTTTTGATACTGCAAAGTAGGTTGGAAGAAAGTGAGATGGGCTCTAAAACTAACAAAGTGACTGCTTTCAAATGTGTGGAACAAGTGTTCATATCTTACATTCATTCGCAATGAGAGCATTTTAAAGAAAGAGAAACGTATATTGACAGCATTCGTTCCTTTCAAATTCTACAAAAGCATCAGCTCTAGATATGCTCCATTAAAAATCTCCCTTATACACCTTCTAGAGTTTCATCAATCTTGCATTTTACTTCAAAAAGGTATTTACACAAATATAACTACGGCTCTTGCCGTTCTACACCTGGCAAGATTTTACAATGTCGATCTAACTATTCAATTACAAATCCAAGAAGTCACATTCTTTGCACTATCAATATTCCATTTACACTACTAATTGAAGTCCCTCCCTGCAGCTCTAGGTATTACAAGAAATAGAGTAAGGAAATGCTTCCATAAATACCAAATAACACACTATCTCATTTAACACGCAAATTCA